ACTGTTTTTTTTTTTTTTTCCGGAAAATATTTTTTACTTCCTATTTATAAGTAGCCGTTTGGCGCTAGAAAGCCATTGGCTCCCGTGAGCCAATGAAAAAGCGTCAACCGGCTACTGTATCTTTTTTTTTTTTTTTTTTTAACTAACACAACTTTATTGTACATTTAAAAACAGATGAACTGTATCGGAGCAGCTTCACCGCATTAAAAAAAAAAAAAAAAAAGCGTTAGACTTTACAAACACAAAAAAATTACATTAAATCTTCACCTTTTCGATTTAATTTACTTTCATTTGTCGTTTCCTGTCTGAGGAACTTGAGGAGAACAATTTGCGAAGCTGTGATTTAAGTTACTGTAAATTAAGATCTGTACTGTAGGTTGTCATTTCAAAGTAAGAGTTTGTAAGTAAGAGACGATCTGTGCAGCTAAATCTCTTAATCTAGTTTGTAGTTTTTACTAATCCTTACCTGTCCATAGTGTGCAGCCCAGTGCAAAGGGGTCCATCCGTAGCTGGAGTCCTCAGCAGTCAGATGAACCTGGTTCGAGAGCTGCTGCGAGAGTGACACCAGAACTCCAACATCTCCATCCCGGCAGGCTCGGTGGACGGGAAACCTGTTCCCAAACACCTCATCATTACAGGTGGAGAAGTCCGGTTCCGGTCCCGCCGACATTAGTGAACTCATGACAGCAGGAGCGTGTTTCTCCCGGTGTCTCCAGGTTGCAGAGAGTCGCCTGAAAAAGGTTTAAACACAAAGGAAGAGGAGATAAGCTGCTCTGCCCGGCTGGAGACACTGAAAACCCGGGCTGGATTCAAGGGTGTTATGTCGAATAGTGCTACCCATCGAGATGTGCGCCTATGCAGCTCTGCGCATGCTCCGCGCAGTAGCCTACAAGAAATATTACTTTATTGTGGCTTCTCGTCTGTCGAAAAGTTATTCATCCAAAATGTTAAATTAAGGGTTTAGTATCGAAATATGCGCCCTGTATACTTACGGTAAAAAAGCAGCGAGTAGTGTTGTTTAAAAGTGGAGTCTCTGGTTGCACATATTAACAAGGTAGCAAATCTCGACATAACACCAGAGGTTGATTAAAACAGCGGGGCATTTTTAGTCGTTTATTTAGAAGATTTTGGCCGAAAAAAACAACTTTTTCTCCTTCTCTCCCATAAAATCTAAGTGATATTTTCTCACAAGTAAGGAAGAATGTGTATCTACTTATATTTTATTATTTAAAATCTGTTAACTTTAGATTTTCACCCCCCTTTATGTTTTTTATGGTAATATGTAAGCATGCTAGCATTGCCTAACATGAAGGCCACGTTGCTTACTTAATTAATTAATGATGTATTTATGTTAATTCCTAGAAATAAAAGAAGCAGAAAGCTACGCAGTTGACACAACTACCACAAGATGGCGTCATCTTTAGGTGGGAAATCACTGGTTCTTGGTCTCCAAGGAGCTCAGGTAAATCTAATGACACAGGTAAACTCAGCTCTGAAGAAACACACCTTGAAGCTGCTGTGAGGATTATTTAACTGGCTATGAAATGGTCAAAAGTGAATACTGATCTATCTGTATGACCATCAAATGTAAGACCATCAACATAATAGATGATGCTGCTTTAAATCTGGGGAGTTGGTGACAGACAAAGTGATGAAGTTCACACTGCCTAAACCACCTTAGACATTTCCCACACTAAAGATACATTTGACAGTTGAATATAAAGCATCAATAGATTTTTGTTGTTGTTAAAAAACACTTCTTACACATGCACAGGACAAAATCAGCAAAAAGATAAGTTAGGGTCACCATACTTTCAAACTGGGACACTGGGATAGGGACTGTTCAAAACCAGGGCATAGTAGTGTTTATAGAAATCTGCTGGGATTCGGGACACAGCTTTAAGACGGGACAGTCCCAGTCAACCGTAGTGGATGGTCAGTCCTCGCTGCTTCATCCAGAGGGTGCCCCTGCCTAATGAATTGTAGACTTTCATGTCTGTTCATCTCAAACTCGTTGTTTGTAGATAAGTAGACGGTTGTTAGGGACTCTTAATATTTTGATATCTGTAATATTTTTCCAAACTCAGGACAGTTTTGTGCGAGTGAGGAAAAGCGATTTGGACAAGTTGACCACGGAAGTGATGCAGCTCAGAGAGTTCCTGCCCCGAGTGCTGAACAGAGACCTGATGGAGATGCTGCACAAAGCTCGAGCAGCTCACACAGGTAACGCTTACACTAAGATGACACCTGTGAGGCAGAAAATACAAGGGGGAACCTTGTTAGCTAATATGTGTGTGACTTTAATGAAGGCGTATTTAAACCAAATCCACAAATTGTGTGCACATACAGTTAAAAACCAGAAGCAGTTTTCACTTCTTTCTCACCAGTAGGGGTCCTCTGATATCAGTTCTGACTTTTTGTGTGTGTTTAGTGAAGGAGCAGTTTACTCAAGAACAGGAGCAGCTGAGACAGGAGTGTCTTCACCTGCAGTCCCGACTCGATGCAGTGCAGACAGAGTGTCAGAAAGAGAGAGAGGTGCGGAGCAGCGAGCGACATCATGAATTTAGATTAGCTCTAAATTATCCTCACTTAAGAGAAATTAACCTCTGAGAAGTCTTTGCAATACTCAACGTTGTTGTTAAGTCTGGACACCATCCTTAATTTTGTTATATCTCAAAGTTTGAGTTGTGTTAACCCTTTACATGTGTGTGTGTGTGTGTGTGTTAAGGAGAAGCTATTGTTGCGGGAGCAGCTGTGGCAGAGTGGAGCAGAGCTGCAGCAGCAGGCCGACTTCTGCTCCAGTCTGGGATCTGCATCCTGCAGTCTGCTGTGGAGCTGCTCCTCCAGCGAGCAGACGGTCACACACTGGCTCGCTGACGTGAGTCGTCACTTAGTTAGAAGGAGGACATACTGGCTGCTGCATTGTTGTCAGAGAAGCCAGCACTTCAACATAGCATGTTTCCTTAATGTCTGATCAGATAGTAAGATACCTTTATCATCTCACTCTCTACACATCTCACTGTAAAAAAGTCTTAAATTTGATGGAGTGTGCAGCAACCCCGTATCTCTGAGGTGTTGTTCATGAAGGTGTGTTATCTAAAGTGTGTTTGTGATGGTTCAGGGGAAGCTGCAGTCCTTCCTGCTGGTCGCTGCTCAGACTCTGGAGAGCTTCGTCAGGTCTCTGGACGAGGAGGTGAAAGCTGAGGACCACAACTCCCAGGAGCACCAGTTCGTTCTGGCTGTAGCTGGAACCATCACCAGTAAGTTCACAGCTTCAATTTAGCAGCACACGGATGTGGATGTGGATGTGTCTGACCAGGAATCCTCCCACAACCCTCTTTTTTTTCTTCTTTATACCCTGTCACTCAGATATCGCAGCAGTACCTTGTGGGCGGGACTTTCTGTCCAGCTCGGCTCACGTGCTGTTGGACACTCTGATGAAACTTCTGGAGCTGATGAAATCGGGAGTCTTCCCCAAACTCAAAGTGTGCGTTGAACTGTAACCACTGCACCACCATGCAGCGCCAACAATATCCTCCCTTTATTTTTAAATTTCTAGTCAGACATGTTGGTGATCAGATGTGGGCAGTAGGTGTCAGTGCTGTTCTTCCGCCCACATCTGATCAACGGCATGTCTTGTTTCTGCTCGTGGAGGTAGTTTACAAGATTTTTATTAACTACCTGTTCGTCTACAGGTTGATGCTGATGGCTCTGTATAACGTCAGCATCAGTATTAAAGGACTGAAGTACATCAGTGAGAACCCTGGACTGCTGCCTCTTATCTGGACCCTGCTGGACGGTAAGAAGAATATAGGGAGTGTCATTCAGAATAACTCTGTATTTTAACTCCTAACAAACCTGCAGCAAGACAACAGACTGAGTTTCTCCTCCAGGTCTAACACCTTGTGATCATGATGTTTGAAATGTGATGTGAGCCTCTGATCTGTGTGCGCGACAGATGGAGACTGGGAGGTGTGTCTGCACTCGCTGCGTCTCCTGCAGTCTGTGTTGTTGGAGGAGGAGGTGCTGCTCCTGCTGGGCTCGTCTCTGCTGGATCCTGAACTCCAGGCTCGGGTCAGCGGGCTCACCTCCAGCAAGCAGTCCAGCCTGAGAGTGACTGCCCAGCAGACTCTGGAGGACCTGCAGGCCCTCACACAGGTAACACCTTCAAAGCAGGGGGTTAACTCTTGTGGTTCTCTAAAAGTGTAAGTGAAAACAGTAGACTATGAAGTCCTTTAGAAATGAAATGAAGAGTCATTGTCTATTTTCAGGGTCGGAGATCTAAACAGAGCAGCCTCTGATGTGGATTATGTGTCTTCAGTAGTTCACTTCTGTTCATGACTTCAGTATTTGTGCTGTTTTTTGCACGCCATGTGTTGAACAGGGACATAAAGGAGATGCCCGCGTTTTCATCGACAGTTTAACCTGTACATTTTCTCTTTTTGTTTACTTGCACTGTTCAAAGAATTGTTCTAAAAATTGTTCCTTAATTGCACACTTAATGTTTATATGATATCACCCGTGAATACGAGACATATTAAAGTTCATGTTTTCACACTTTCAGGGCGCTATCTTCGTGTTTTATAAACTGTATACGTTATCAGCGATCCATCACATTCACTCACTAAACTCTTCATTCTGGTTCACACTTAAAAAGGCTTCTATAGAATTTAAACGATGCAGTAATACGTCCGGCGTTTTCGGACTGCAGGAATTTCTTGATAGTTCTAGAAACTGTTGCAATCCTTTTTTACTGATTCCACTCCGCAGGAACGACGATGAACTCTTTTAGTTCCTAGAATCTCATTAAGAGGAACCTTTTTTCGCTCCTGCTTCAGAGTAGGTACCACGGCGGTGTGAACGCAGACAGAAAAAAATCCCCATGGTGTGAAGTTCTCAGGGCAAACTCTAGTGGATAGACTATCATCTGCATGTGGATAAACAAGAGGTGAATTCATAACGATGATGACTTGAGGAGACCTAGCAGCACAAACCTGCCAGTAAACATGTTCCCTCCCAAAATTATGCAAAGGCCTTTGGATGATTTCATAACAGGTGAGTTCATAATAAAATTTCACCTTGATACAGTTGTCAGAAATGGGGTATTATACATCTGGAAACAAAACATATTATTTGAAGCTGTAGGTTCTTTACCTGTAAAGTTTGGCATTTTAAACATGGAGCTCTATGGGTACTGACTCGCTTTTGGTGCCAGCCCTCAAGTGGCGATTCATGGAACTGCAGTTTTTTTTGGCACGTTCCTGTCTGTTTACATTTTTCAAGCTGAGGAATTTGCTGCTTAAATAGCACAAATTCAAGAACTTTTAAGGGGAGTTAACCCATTTTGTTCACACCTTAACCTCCATGAACTAATAATCTGCATGTCTGTGATTGCTACACAACAAAAGACACTCCATGTGGATGTCAAAGTCTTTGACTGCACTAGAGTTGCATTTGAAACCTGAAGAAGAGTACAAGAATAAATCCACACAAGTTTCCTTTTTGTTAATTGTACAGCTTTATTATCTGTTTCTTTAGTATGGACTTCTCAGTTATGAGCAGGTATCCATTAAACAAGGCCTACGCTACAGAACAGGAGATATTTAAGACGAGAGAGGAGAGCACAAGAATGGAAGCAGCCATGGGGCCTCGGAGGACTTCACTGATGGAAAATCTGGGACAAGACACGAGTGACATTTACCTCCAGGCTTAACCCCACCCACCTGTACCTGTCAGAGGGCTCGCTCTGACGAAGACCACCAACAACCAGCAGTGAACGTCTCATCCGTCTGTGGGGTTTCTCTTAGAAAACTCCAGCCGCCCTCACTTCACCATCCTCATGGGGGAGATTTGTGCTAAGCTCCAAACAATGATACTAATAATACTTTGTGCTAAGAAGAATCTACGGAGGAGAAAGTGGGGAGGACACAGAAATCCTCGAAGGGAAAGTGAAAAGAAAAAGCCCAAAGGGTGTGAGACGGAGACTCTGCGGTCGTCCGTCCAAGTCGATGCAGCATCGCCACCGCTCGGTTTCTAGGAGGAGACAGCGGCGTTGGGCTTGTCGTCGCGGGTGACGGGGATGTTGCGCTCGCTGCGGCTGGATTCGTTCCCGCCGCCGAGCTTTGGGCCCCACAGGGTGAGCAGACCGTCAGCTGTCAGGGTGCAGGTGATCGCTGACTGGTCGACGCTGGAGGGGAGGCGGTAGCGACGGTGGAACTCGCGGGAGATGTATCCGTGGTCGTCCTGGGAAAAACAGCGAGAGGATGGCAGAGTCAGGTGAAGACTTAATGATAATATACTCCCAAAAATACATTCTCTTTTTATCATATAAGAAGGAGGCGTAGACACCCGTTTATGTTCCTTTACATCTTTTTGTTTTGTCATCACTGTGTTGTTTTTTTAGGGCGAGAGCTGGAAACACTTGGACGGGAGGGTGGGGGTATGGGCGATGCAAAAGGCTTTGTTGTTGGCTCATGTTAGTGCTGGCTTGGTTATTCATTTGCATCCATAATTCACATTCATGATATGAGCTGGGGTGCTAATTTTGTCTAAGGAAAACAAGCTTCAAACTAAATTAACTGAGCTAAGAAAGAAGCTCAAACATTTCCTCAGAGTAACTTGTAGTTCAACCAAATGCTAAAAAACAACATTAACAGGTCGCCATGTAAAGGACTTGTCATTCACAGGTCGCCCCGCCCTAGCTCCTCCCCCTCTTTGACTTGAGTCTAGAGATTCCCCCTGCAGCCACAAATATTCCCCTGACGCTTCACCTCTGAGGTCTTCTTATCAAGATCCTCATTGCATCATTGTATGTTTTTTGAGGCCCCTGCAAACTTTATATATTTTTGAATGGACTGATGATAAGTGATGCACGAGGAGGGCCTGCAAACGAAACTAAACACTGACACTACTCCAAAACAGTTTGTCAACAGATGATCCTCTATCACCTGTTTTCCTCCCCCTAATTCTGGTGTTTCATATCAGTTTTTCTACCGTGAAGCACTTTGTGGATTGCACATCTGCGGGATGCAGAACACTACCTGTCGTTCTCCGTGCTTGCCCTGGATCTCCACGTAGTCGTCGGTGATCTTCACGCAGAGCTCGTCGGGGGAGAAGTGCTTGACGTCCAGGTAAACTGTGAACTTTTCCCTGTCGGACCTCACCTGAGGGGAAAACAAACGATGACAACGTTAATGCGGCCAAAACTTTGATTCATTCAAGAGCGTAAACATCTAAAAACGTTTAGAAAATTCTTCACTTTAAAGCAGTTTAAGTTATTTTTTGATGTAAACTCGAGGCTGTTTCTGGAAACATTCAAACAAAATGACGATATGTGAACAGAGAAACTTGTAAAATTTCAAATCACACTCTCCTGTCGAACTAAGCATCAATTCTGGTGTTTTAAACCTCCAAAAACTTGTTAGCGTGTAGATGAAAACAACCTCCCTCCTCCTTAATTTCTACTTTCCCACTACATGATAATTTAACCAACTTTGTCTCAATCTTTCTCCTGAATTCATGAGTTTTTGAGTTCTGATGCTGCTCTCTTTACCTCTGAGATGCCGGAGTTGGAAGAGTCCAAAAAGCTGCGAAACAGCGTATGTCTGTAGTGGGGGCTGATGGTGGTGGCGGCGTAGGGGTAGAGGTCGTAGTCGAACATGCCTTCCCGAAAAACTGGTCAAAGAGTCGAGCGGGGTAGACGGAGCCCAGGGCGCGTCTGAACCAGGGGTGCTGGATGGCAATATCCATAGTGACTTTAGACAGTGTGGTGAAGCTCAGGTGAAGATGTAGCAGCTCAGCTCAGAGTCCAGGAAAGGGAACGAAGGGAGGAAGAAGTGAGGCGGGAAGAGAGAACAGAGTGTCGATGAAAAGCAACAAGAGAAGAAGAGTTTGCAGAGTGCTTCGTCCTCTGCTCCACGGCCGCCTCCTCTTTTTATACCTGAGAGCCAGAAAGAGGGGCTTTAGCCAGGATCCCTCTGGAATGGCATTATCTCATGGTGGGTTGGGCCCCGTCAGCATAATCAGGCCTGAGGATGGAGAGGAGAGAGAGGGATGGGGGGGGGGGGGGCACCGCTGGGTCCAGACCCTGTGCCACCCACAGACCAGACACCCCTGGCTGCCAAAACAAACCCTGCAGGCCGAAGAGGAGGGAGGAAGAGGAGGAGGGCAGGACGCAGACAATGAGGTCAGGAAGCAAACTAAAGTCATATTTTACCTGAGTGATAGAGCATCAAACAGAAACACAAACGTCTATTCTGTCAGTGACACAATGCTGCTGTATTGTTCTGCCCGTGTGGTTGAACAAGATTGTAGAAACACAATGCTGCCTGGGTCAACGGAGCAACAACCACCAACACAGAGACATGAGAAAAGATGTTTTTATTCTGCATATAACATCTGTTTTATACTTTTTTAGATGGAAACAACACGATTAAAGCGAGCTAATACGAGGTAGGGTCGTCACTGTACCAGAATTTTAAAGTATCAACGTTATTGTTACCTGTTTGATATCAAGAGGAAGTGACCATATATGGACAAGACCTCCAGCTCCACCCTCTTGTCCAAATATGGTCACGTCCTCAGAGTAAACGACTGACTGAAACATAAACATCTCCTCAGAGCTTCTTGTAGAGAAAAGGACGTGGGCCCCGCAGAGTGAGCAGACCGTCAGGTGACAGGGTGCAGGTGATCGCTGATTGGTCGACGCTGGAAGGGAGGCGGTAGCTTGGGGGGGATGTAATTGTGGTCGTCTTGTTAATTGGAAGATGGATGGGAGAGGAAGGTAAAGACCTGACGATAGTTTATTATTTGTAAAGCACATTATCAACCAACATAAATAGATTTTAAAGCTGCAACCACAGCCGGAAAAATCGACAAACAACGTCAGAACGCAACAGTCGATTATTCTGTCCCTGCATCGATGCAGATTCGTCCAAGTCCAGAGCGCTCCCAGTAGGAGGCGGCCGCTCCGAGCACTCAAGTTTAAAATCTTTCAACTTTTCAGAAACTTTTCCAAACATGCAGTAAAAAGTAACGGAGCAGTGTCGGTCATACGGCGGTCGTTGTCAACAGACTGTTGTCATAGAGACAGGACGGTCATGCAGCACTTTGCATGTCAGCGCAGAAACACTTCACGCAAGCGCTCCTGAACGCACAGCCAGCACTTTTCTCCCTGGAAGAAAACGCAAATTATGGCTAACAAAAGCACTTAGCTGGAAAAAGGAAAAGCAGATCTCTCAGTTTGCGTTATAGCACATTTTTCTGGTCAATGTGATGGCGACCTGTCAATCACATGTAGCCCCGCCCTAACTCCTCCCCCTCTTGACTCAAAAGGGGACCATAGTTATTTAGATAAGTGAACATCCAGCTGTGTTAAAGAAGACAGCTAAACTAGAGATTGAGACCGTAAACTGTGGAAAATGTTTACTGCGGGAATAAATCAGATGAGAAGAATTTCTCAATCGGGTTTATTTTTCACCCAGACTCATCCTCCCTCTGGATGTTAGAAAGTTTTATTGTTCATGAGTTGCACCTCAAAAACCAAGAGTATGCAGACTTAGGGT